TCAGAACAGAACCAGAGTGTCATCACTGTGTTTCTGAGCTTTATGAAGGTGAAAGAAAAATATTGTTAAGTGTGTTTGTTTACCACTTTATGAGCTTGAACCACACCAAGAATGTCCCCATGCATGGAAATTGAATGTAAAAGAGTTCATACAACCAAACACAGAGCAGCTCGGTCTGGAGGCAGTTTATTGACCTGCGCTCAGGCTTCGTTTTACAGTCAGTTCAATATAACAGAGGCTCTGCCTATTTTATTACATCATCAGGAAGGGGAGTCCCTAACATACTGTACCTGAGGTCATGTCCCCAGACAATATAATCTGACCTAATGAAGATTAACAGTTCAGTTATGTGTTGAATCAGTGTTCAGGCATGCATCTACATAAAATCATCAATTTAAGCAACAAAATCACATTTAACAGATATTACAGTTCTCCTATACCACACTGTAAAAATGAAATGTTGGATTTACTTAACCATGTTATGTTACCTGGTTCCACTTAACTGAGTTGAGCAAATTCAAAGCAACATACTCATGTTCTTTGGCTAAAAAACTGGTGTATTGCTTTGAATTTACTCAACTCAGTTAAGTGGAACCAGGTAACATAACATGGTTAAGTAAATCCAACATTTCATTTTTACAGTGCATGTGTAGTGTAATAAAGATCAGTATGTAAACAAACCACAACATATTTCTTCAAAGTAAAAAACTAGGGCTGTCAAATGATTTATATTTTTAATCTGATTAATCCCAAAGTAGCTTTGAATTAATCAGGATTAATCTTAAAGTTAATATTCATTTCTATTGCATATTGATAAAATAAATTACTTGAGTTATTAATTAGTTTTTAATGTTTTTATTTAGAAAACAAAATTGTTGCTTAGAAATGATTTTTTTAAATATAAAACAGGACCTAAAAAATGCTCCAAACATATTTGAGTCAGTTAAATTTTGTGCAGAATAATGAGGTTAAATCAAGAATTCAAGGATTTTCATTCCAAATGAGTACTACATGAGGAATGAAAGATAGAGACTAAGATCACAGTTGTCAGCAAAACATAAATATATAAAATAAAATGAGCCATAAGAAGATGAAAAGAAAAAAAAGACTGTACATAATGTATTACACATGGAGTTTTTTTTTTTTCATTTTATTTATTTAACCTTAATTTATCCAGGTAAACTGTTTGAGAACCACTTCTCTTTTACAAACATAACCTGACATGCACTGTGTGCAATATACAAACCTACATATTCAGCCACAGCAATGTGATTGCAAATTTTAATCGCGATTAATCACAATCAAAGTTTTTAATCTATGCTCATGCAGCACTAAAATTAATCAGAGTTAACTCAATTAATTTCACAGCCCTATAAAAAACATGTTTATTTCTTACGTTTGCTACAAAATACGGTTGTCATTTTTGATGTTTGGAATCTAGAAAAAAATGTTGTCTTTTGGATAAAAGTTTAATTTATTACATAAAACATATTTTTATTTTATTGCGTAACACGAAACTTCGTGTGATTCATTTAAATGAAACGTGTTTGCAGAATGTTGCTCTATCAAGCCGGGAGGACTGAAGAAATACTGACAGAATAATGCAAAAATATATTAGATTCAGGAAAAAGAAGGAAAAAAAACAGTTGGTCATTAGGGAAGATTTCATGTCATTATATCTAGGATTTAATCAGCAGATGGAACTGAGAGCTGAAGATTGTAAATCAAAATGAAGCTATCTGTTCAATCAGACTAATCCTTTTTTCTCTTCTGTTTTTACCAAATAAATGTATTCCAGTGAACAGAAACAAGAATGACAAACGCAGGAGAGATAAATAAAGATGTTTAAAATCAAGTCCACCGCATCTTTTCCTTTTCTGTCCCCTTCTTCTCTCTCGCCTCCACAAACCGCCTCCACAGTCAAATTGATTTAGGCCTGCCTCCTGAGGGCTTACAGTGTGGGCGTGTGGGCTTCGCTTTTATATATATATATTTTGTGAACGTCTCTGTAAATTCTGACTCTGAGGAAAGCTCCTGGACCTTCGTTTGTAATTCAGCTCACAGAGAACCCCACGCAGAGCTGCGGCGTGCAACGCTAAATAAATCAAACCAGTGTGTTCTCGGCACTAATGAGTGGAGCAAACTGTCTCTGCGGGCTGCTGCAGGACTGCAGGGGCAGGCGCAACGACACATGGAGAGGAGGATGATGAAGGTGGGGGGGGGGGGCAGCACATAATCTGAGATGTTTACCTGGCATCTGCTTCACTGTAGTATTCTCTGGCCACAATGTCCTCAAACAGCTCCCCTCCTGTCACCCTGAGAAACACCAAGATAGAGTTTAAATGTACTCAAACACACAAAAACACACACTTGCACACACAGATAGGAGGGGGATGTCCTCATTAGGGGGAAACCCCGGCTGCAGGATTCTCTCCGACTGGGTTGCCATGGAAACTGGCTCCAGTGTGAGGTGAGGGAGATGTGTGTGTGTGTGTGTGTG